CCTAAAAATTGCTGTCCACCAACGTTTACCATCCAACCTGCCAGAACTGGAGAGGCTCTGCAAGGAGGAATGGCAGAGGATTCCCAAATCCAGGTGTGAAAAACTTGTTGCGTCTTTCCCAAAAAGACTCATGGCTGTATTAGATCAAAAGGGTGCTTCTACTAAATACTGAGCAAAGGGTCTGAATATTTAGGACCATGTGATATTTCAGTTTTTCTTTTTTAATAAATCTGCAAAAATGTCAACAATTCTGTGTTTTTCTGTCAATATGGGGTGCTGTGTGTACATTAATGAGGAAAAAAATTTAACTTAAATGATTTTAGCAAATGGCTGCAATATAACAAAGAGTGAAAAATTTAAGGGGGTCTGAATACTTTCCGTACCCACTGTATATGTATGTATTGGATACTTTTATATACGCTTCCATTTAAAAGTTTGGAGTACTTTTTGAAAGAAGGCCCACCAAGGCTGCATTTACTTGATCAAAAATACAGTAAAAACTGAAATATTTTGAAATATTAGAATAGTATTAAAATAAATATTTTCTACTGTAATATATTTTGAAATGTAATTTATTCCTGTGATTACTGCCATTATTATCAATGAAAATATTTTTGCATGTCTTCAATGCATCCTTGCTGCATTTAAGTATTATTTAAAAAAATAAAACTTACTAGCCCCAAACTTTTGAACACTTATGGCTCATTCTGTGTCGACTCAACCAGCTCAAGGCCCTTAGCTCAAATTTTTGATTATGTTAAGATTTTTTTCTGTATGTGTTCCGAATGAATGTAACAAATAATTGTGAAAAAGTGTGTGTTCTATTAGCTAATATGAACCACACCCAAACTTCTCATTGGCTCATATCTGCCAAACCAATCAAGTTCCTGTCAGGAGAATCCACATTTTGTGCATACTGGATCCAAGAACTGGGATGTGTTATTATACTTTTCTTTTTTACACGGGGGTGAATTCAGGTAAATTGGGAGTCTTTTTGCCATTTGAGATGACTGGGGAAACAAATGTCCCAATTAACCTGAATTCACCCTATATGTGGTGTTATAGAGTTGGATGAACTGGGTGGCACTATAATAATCTAACTTACATTTTGTAAATGAGGTGTTTGTGCTTGCTTGAATAATGAGTCTGAACAGTTACTAACCCTTCACCGAGCGAGCGTTCATCATGACGCACTGAAGCTGAACGCCACACTGAACACAATTACACATTACATAACGAGCACGCAGCCGGTGACCTCGTCTCACATCACTGCAGGCTTATTTCACACAGTATAAGACAGAACCTTTACACAATGCACCTTTCCCATTGATTTCTCTCGTTTGTAGTTCACTATTTCTGTACATTAAAACCATCTTCTCTCTGCAATGCTATTCAGCTGCTGAAAGTGTTTTTACTGAAATGTAATTCTTTAATCACTGTATTTTAAAGTAGATAGCACACCCAAAAATTTAAATGTGCTTATGTGCACCCTCAGGCCATTCGAGATGTAGCGGACTTTTGTTTTTCATTAGAACAGTAAAGAAGATTTTTAGCTGAAACCATGGTGCTTGGTGATTCATAAAATGCAAGTCAGCATCTTTAAGAATTAAAAAAGCATATCAGGCAACATTAAATTAATACCCGTAGCTCTGGATGATATATTGAGGTCTTATGAAACGAAACGATCAGTCTGTGCAAGAAACTGAACATTATTTACAACATTTTCATTTTGAACTCTCTCAGAATCCAGCCACATATTTGTTTAGAGCTGTTTAAACGCTGCTTGATCTGTGCAGATTTCTCTCCTGATTCACACCAGAACACTTTTTCACTGGAGGAAGAGTTATTATGGATTACTTGTGGATTATTGTGATGTTTTTATCAGCTGTTTGGACTCTCATTCTGACGGCACCCATTCACTGCAGAGCATCCATTGCTGAGACACTGATGCAGTGCTACATTTCTCCAAACCTGATGAAGACACAAACTGAGGATGAGGACATGTTTTGCAAAATTTCATTTTTGGGTGAAAAAAGCCCAGTAGGATTAGAATAATAAAACACCTGCATGATGCTGATTAATATGCAGCAGTCTGTTTGTGAAGACATGTTGGCTGCGGAGGGGAATGCAGGACCATCTCGGACCGCTAACTACAGACTCGAGCAGCCAATCAGAGTGTGAGTTTTAATGAGAATCCGAGTGCAGGAAGCAGGTTGCCATGACAACAGCAAGGTAAAGCAGCAGATAAATCACTATAGATGCCGAGTGGGTAAGTGTGTGCATGTGGTCTCTGATGAGAACCTCGGGGATTCAGACGACTGGACAGAAGGTCAAGCAAAAACCTCAAGTAGCGTTACATGAACACCATCAAGTTGTGAAAACTAATGGATGTTGGCTCTCTGCTATTATATTTTTGGTCTTTTGCCACTTTATATTGTGGAAAGAAGACGACAGAGAAATATAAGAAGAGAGAGGAATCAGGAAATGTTGCGAGCCGGATTAGAACTTGTATTGCCCACGTTGAAGCACATGTGCTGAATATTTTTGGCTTTTGATGTTTACAAAAGAACAGAGTTCCGAGCCGATGATGAAGAGAGGAAGAGAGGTAAACCAGGATTAGGAAATGTTGCAGATCAGATTCAAACCCACATTGCTCACATGAGAACCACAGCTCAATACTACTGCTTATTCTTAGCTTAAATAGATCTTTAATGAATAAATGTCGTGCTTTAATAAGGTTTGGCAGCAAGCTGCAAAGAAAATTACAATCTTACCACAGAAATATATATTTAAAAAAAAATTTTATTATTAGTTTTATTTATTTATTTTTGAAGAATTCAATTTAATTTTAATTTAATTCATATAATTCATATTTCTTTTCAGCAAAGATGCAATAAATTGATCAAGTGTCAGTAAATGCATTTATAATGTGACAAAAGATTTCTATTTTATTTCTATTTTTCTATTTAAAAATATTTCTATTTCCATACATTCACATAAAAAAACAGCTATTTGTAATATTTCCCAATATTACTGTTTTTACTGTATTTTTGATCAACTTAATGCAGCCTTGGTGAGCAGAAGAGACTTTAAAACATCTTTTTATTATTTACCAACCCCAAACCTTTGTATATAAAAGATTATATAGACTACATGATTACTCAATATGAACGGTTTTAAATAAGCTACAAGATCTGCGTGTCTCTTATTTCTCCCAGAAACAAAATAAACCATGTTACAACCGAAGATGAAGCTCTGTAACAGCAGATTATTTCATTCATTTAATGAGTAAAATTTTAATTAAATTAAATTTAACCCATTATTTTTTGAGAATATTGAAGAGTACAATTTGCAGATGTTTTATCAATGACACATGATGATCAACTTACCTTCAAAAAGGGAGTAAGGCCGGTCAGGAATACGACAGCCGTGGGTCCCGTAGTCTAGACACCACTCAGCAAACTAGAAACAAACACACAGAATTCATTTAAACATTTGGAACACAAAGTACAAGCTTTATCATAAAAGTGAAGTGTGGGAAGTGTGCCTGCCCATGCAAAGCCCTAAAGCTTGTCTGGTTCCTCACAATCTCAAGAGAGAATAAAAAGACGAGAGCAGAGCATGAATCAATTGTTCTAACTGGGCCATTTTTGCTTCATTTTTTCATAAAAGCATCAGAAAGAAAGAAAGAAAGACAGACAGACATTTCAATTCCATTTAATTACTTTTAAACAAAAATAAATTCAGGATAGATTTCAATATTCTGTGCTTTTTTTTTTTGCAAACATACTTTGCAAAAATGTCACTGCAGGCATTCATTACTACTTAAGAGTGCATTCAAGTACCTAAAGCTCAATTATAATGTGCTTTAACAAATAAGCACAAGTCAACCTGCCATACCAAACAAGACCACAGGGAGGTGCCAAAGGACTGCATATAAACTACAATACGGATCCATTCAGAATCACTAAACACACCAAAATACAAATGAAAAATGGAAACATTCTGGATGTGTGGAGACTCAGCGATCTGAAGGTGGCTTGACGATATATAGTGAGTTATCAGTGATTAAAAAGTTGCCAGAACAAGCGATCGTGTCCGTGTTTGGAGCGTGTGATGCCCATATGTACATAAACACCACTGATCCTCACAAACTTCTCCAAAACACGCCTCTTTGGTCAGCATCCGTTATAAAACACTCGCTGTACATACATTTTGACAACTACATCAATATACTGAACGGTGTTCAAGCATAAACATGTTTTAGTGATCAGTGCGCCGAGAGCACACATAACGTTACACGCTTCGGTTGCGCATCAAAAATAACTTGACTCTTGTATGTCACTGTAATCGTCTTTACCTTGATTACAACTGTCATCTATCAAAAACATTGTCTTGATTTATCCAGCCGCGAGCTGTAGTCTGCGTATCATATGTGACACTGGAGCACAAAACCAGTCATAAAGGTCAATTGAAATTGAGAGTTATGCATCATCTGAAAGCTGAATAAATAAGCTCTCCATTGATGTATGGTTTGTTAGGATAGGACAATATTTGAAAATCTGGAATCTGAGGGTGCAAAAAAATCTAAATATTGAGAAAATCATCTTTAAAGTTGTTCAAATGAAGTTCTTAGCAATGCATATTACTAATCAAACATTAAGTTTTGATATATTTATGGTAGGACATTTACAAAATATCTTCATGGAACATGATCTTTACTTAATATCCTAATGATTTTTGGCATAAAAGAAACATTGATAATTTTGATCCATACAATGTATTGTTGGCTATTGCTACAAATATCCCCCAGCGACTTAACACTGCTTTTGTGCTGCAGAGACACGTTTGCTCATGCAGCGGTCAGGTGTTTTGATGAGAAACAGCTTCAGCTGCTCTGAAACACAGAATATCAACTCAGAACACGCACAAGAGAGGTGGTGCTCTTATTTTTTTAATTGTTTTAAAATTTAACATATCAATCACAAAATTAGTGAATTGGATGTACTTTCATTTTAAATTATTTCATGCATTATTAAGGCTGATTCACAGCCTTAATAAACAAAAATATTTAAAAAAAATACACAGATGGATCAGAGGTGAACTGTGCTGTTTCTCTAGAAAGGCTCATGCAGACCTTGCTTTGTTTCCATGACATCAGGTTTAAGTGGCTGTAAGTGGCAGAGATGATGAGCACGACTGTATCTACTGTACATCTACTGTACGCAGGGCTGTGCTGCTTGTGTTCTCGAGCAGCGAGGGAGTGTGGCGCTGTACCTTGCAGGCACGATACAGGTATTTCTTGTCCTGTGTGGCGTGGTAGAGCGAGAGCAAGGCGTATCCGTTCCCAGCCGTGCCGTGACAGAGTCCATAACCCTTCCTCAGTAAACCTCTCTGCCAGATCACCTCTCCACACTCAGCCGCGTCTCGCAGGTACTTCTCATCCTTGAAGACCTGAAACACAACACACACGCATTACACTCCTGCAGTCACAGCACTCTGATCTCCGCTGACAACCAATGACCAATCAGGCTTATTATAACCTAATTATAGTAATAACTGCAGTAATTGCAGACTGTGCCCTGCTGTGTATATTTACTGTCATAACCCTTGTGTGTGTGTGCGTGAGTGAGTGAGTGAGTGTGTGTGTGTGTGTGTGTGTGTGTGTGCGTGTGTGTGCGTGAGTGCGCATGAGTGTGTGCGTGTGTGTGCGTGAGTGCGCATGAGTGCGTGAGTGTGTGTGTGTGTGTGCGTGAGTGTGTGCGTGTGTGTGCGTGAGTGTGTGAGTGTCTGTGTGCGTGTGCGTGAGTGTGTGCGTGAGTGTGTGTGTGCGTGAGTGTGTGTGTGTG